CATGGGGCCAGAGCGATAGGACAGCAGGTAGACCATTTGCTTTGTACGCAGGCAACCCGGGTTCAATCTGTGGCATCCCATATGGTCCCCCAAGAAATGCCAGGAGTAATTCCTGAGTGCAGAGCCAGGACTAGCCCCTGAGCATTGCTGGGTATGATCCCCCCCAAAAAAAAAATCCAAAAAAAATAAAAATAAAATTTAAAAAACTCTCCAGGGGGACTGACGTAGCTCAGTTTGTCCATGAGAGCGAGCCCCAGTCCTATGAGAAGATTGGGGCAGGACAGGAAAGCAGGGTGCCGGGCAAGCGGTGGATGGGAGCGAGCGACGAGAGTGTGAGGGGCCCGAGGGGGTGGCGCCCAGCCTCTCTGGCCCTGTTCTAGTTCACAGTGTGCTTGCGTCGGAGAGGGCAGACCGTGTACCAGCAGGTCCTGTCGGTGGAGCGCCCCCGGGTCCTGCGAAGCTGGAACTGGGGCCTGTGCGGGCTCTTCGCCTTCTACCACGCACTCTACCCCCGAGCCTGGACTGTCTATCAGCTTCCTGGCCAGAGCGTCACCCTCACCTGCCGCCAGATTACACCCATCTTACCCCACGACTACCAGGTGCGCCCCCCTACCCCCAACACCACCACACTCCATCCCAGCCCCGCCACTGTTTCTCTTGCACGCTCTGCTTCTGGGGCTGCCATCAGTCTGTTGGGTCTCTGGCTCCTGGGGGCGGCCTGGCATCACGGCCTGCTGAGTCAGTGCGGGGGAGCAGGGCTCGGAGGGGCCTCCCGGGACCTCCTGACCTGACCTTTCATTCCCAGGACAGCAGCTTGCCTGTCGGAGTCTTTGTGTGGGACGTGGAAAATGAAGGCGACGAAGCCCTGGACGTGTCCATCATGTTCTCCATGCGGAACGGACTTGGCGGGGGAGACGACGGCCCCGGGGGTTTGTGGAATGAGCCCTTCTGTCTGCAGCGCGATGGGGAGACTGTCCAGGGGCTGCTGCTGCACCACCCCAGCCCCCACAATCCCTACACCATGGCAGTAGCTGCGCGGCGCACGGTATGGAGGAGCTGCCTCTAACCCTGCCCCCTGAGCCTTTCAGCCCACCCCTTCAGCACAGCCCTCCCCCCTCCCCCCCCCCCCGGGTATATGCACTAGCACGGGCCAGAGGCTGCACACCAGTGGCACTGCCCCTCACGGAGTCCCTGGCCCCTAACAGGCAGATACCACGGTGACCCACGTCACAGCCTTTGACCCTGACGGCACTGGGCAGCAGGTGTGGCAGGATCTACTTCATGATGGACAGCTGGACTCCCCCACTGGTGATGGGGGTTCTGATAAGGAGGTGGTGGGAAGAGCCGGGTGGGGGCACCTAGTAAGGAAGAGGCCTGGTTCCCCTGTTAGGGACCCCTGGGGCCGGGGGGTGACCCCCTTGCCCATTCCTCTTGCGCCTCCCTCAGGCCCAAGCGCCCCCTCACAGAAAGGCGTCGGCATTGCGGGGGCTGTGTGCGCGTCGGGCAAGCTGCCACCCAGAGGCCGCTGCTGCTTGGAGTTCTCGTTGGCTTGGGACATGCCCAAAATCATGTTTGGCTCCAGGGGTCAAGAACACTACAGGTGAGGGGCTGGTGGGGGCATCAGGCATCAGGGCCGGCAGTGCCAGGTCTCAAATTGGGGGCCCTTGTTCCCATCCTGCCCTTCCTTCCCACCTCAGGCGATACACAAGGTTCTTCAGCCCAGATGGCGATGCTGCCCCCGCCCTCAGCCACTATGCCCTGTGTCATTATGCAACCTGGGAAGAGAAGATCTCGGCTTGGCAGAGCCCAGTGCTGGACGACAGGTGCCCCCCTCACTCCTCTCTCCTGGCCACTCCCACTCTCCACCCCACCCCCGGAGACAGCAGAGTTGGACTGAGGGCCACTTGGTGACCCCCACATCCTTCCTGGAAGGGCTGCATTCATTGGGCCGCCCCCTCCCGCCTGCCCAGGTCCCTGCCTGCCTGGTACAAATCAGCGCTGTTCAACGAGCTGTACTTCCTGGCGGACGGGGGTACAGTGTGGCTGGAAGTTCCCGAGGACTCCCTGCCCGCGCTGGGGGACACCATGTGTCAGCTGCGCCCCACCTTGCTGGAGTACGGCCGGTTTGGCTACCTGGAAGGTACGGCTGCTGGCAGGCCCTGGGGGAGGCTGGGCTTGGCCTCCCGAGCACACTGGTCGAGAGCTGAGGGCAGAGCTGCAGGTACTGAGCGATGCGGGTCCCTGGGGCTGCCTACCAACTCCAGAGAACAACTAAGGAGGGGATTGGGGCAGCTGGGGAGGAACAGGAGTTTTCCAGCGGTGCCTCTCCCTTCCTCCTCCAGGCCAGGAGTACCGCATGTACAATACCTACGATGTCCACTTCTACGCATCCTTTGCCCTCGTCATGCTCTGGCCCAAGCTGGAGCTCAGCCTGCAGTACGACATGGGTGAGGGCCCTTGTCGAGCCTCTTCTGTCCTCTCGGTTCCCCATGTGCCTGACCGAGCCTTTGCGGTGCCCCAAGGGATCTCCTCCCCACCCCCGTCCCTGATACACCTTCATGCTCAATGGTTCCCAACTCTGGGAGCCCCCACAAGTCTGCCCCTTCCCTGCTTCCCCAGCTCTGGCCGCCCTTGGGGAGGACCTGACCAAACGACGGTACCTGATGAGTGGGGTGGTAGCCCCTGTGAAAACAAAGAATGTTATCCCCCATGACATAGGAGACCCAGGTAAGTGCCCTTCCTCACAGCTCACCGCCAGCCCCACACACACACTCAGGTTTCACACGGCCAGGCCTACTGTACTGGGTACAGATAAAGCCAGGCACCTCCACCTTCAGATGACGAGCCATGGCTCCGGGTCAATGCGTATCTGATCCATGACACCGCCGACTGGAAGGACCTGAACCTGAAGTTCGTGCTGCAGATTTACCGGGACTATTACCTAACCAGTGACCAGGGCTTCCTGACGGACATGTGGCCCGTGTGTCTGGTAAGGGTCGTGGATGTAGTGGTCAGAGTGCCAGTGGGTGGGACGGGGCTGGGGAGAGCCCAGCTGGCTATTCTTTCCTTAGCATCTAGCTCTTCAGTCTCTTGGTCCCTCTCTAGGCCGTGATGGAGTCTGAGATGAAGTTTGACAAGGACCAAGATGGACTCATAGAGAACGGAGGCTATGCAGACCAGACCTATGATGGATGGATTGCCACAGGCCCCAGGTTGGGGGATTACGGATTTCCAGGGGCCTGAGGCAGGGACATGGGCACCAACGGACTTGATGCCTGTTACCCGCCTTGGGAGTGGCTGGGGCTGCCCACCTAACCCCCAGACCCATCTCTCTGACCAGTGCATACTGTGGGGGACTGTGGCTGGCAGCTGTGGCTGTGATGGTCCAGATGGCTGCTCTGTGTGGGGCACAGGACATCCAGGACAAGTTCTCCTCCATCCTTAGCCGAGGCCGAGAGGCCTTTGAGAGACTGCTGTGGAATGGTGAGCCAGGGGCACTAAGGGGCGCTGAGGAGTCGGGCAGCGGCAGTGGAATGCACAGAGCCTCATTCTGCCCCCTCCTCCCCCTCACTCCAGGCCGCTATTACAACTACGACTGCAGCTCTCAGCCTCAGTCCTGCAGCATCATGTCTGACCAGTGTGCTGGGCAGTGGTTCTTGAGGGCCTGTGGCCTAGGGGATGGAGACACCGAGGTAAATGAGATGAGGGGAAGCCAACTTCATTCCCCCACCATATGACCTCCTGAGCACCAAACCTTCAGGCTTGCACTGATGGACTCTAGGCATCACCCAGAGTTGCCCTGAGCTCCATTCCTGTACCACTGGTGCAGCCCCTATAATTCAGATCATAAAAGAGAAACTGGAAGAAGGGTCCAAGTGATAGTACAGTGGGTAGGATGCTTGCCTTGCACAGGGCCAGCCTGAATTCAATCCCCATCACCCAATATGGTCTCCTGAGCCCTGCCAGGAGTCAGCCCTGAGCACCTTCAGGTGTGGCATAAAAGAAAAAAAAAAACAAAGAGAAATTGGAAGAAGTCAGACAAGGGGTGGGAAGGGAACTTCCCTGGATGTGGGGGGCAGGTGTAAGAGAGCCTGTTTCTGTCCTCGAACCTCTAGGTGTTTCCTACCTCACACATCGTCTGTGCTCTTCAGACCATCTTCGAGCTCAATGTCAAGGCCTTTGCAGGCGGTGCCATGGGTGCTGTGAATGGCATGCGGCCACAAGGTGTCCCAGATAGGTCCAGTGTACAGTCGGACGAGGTCTGGGTGGGTGTGGTCTACAGTCTGGCAGCCACCATGATCCAGGAGGTAACACTCTCCCTCCCCATCTCCCTAGAATTCAAGGGGCCTAGCCCAGGGTCCTTCCCCCCTCCCTTTTCCTGGCCTCGGTTTTGTTTGCTGCCTTCAGGCTTCTGCCTCTAGGGTTGGATTTGTCTTTCCCATCAGCAGAGAGCTCTCTGAGGGCGGAAACCTGCCATCTCTGTCTGCCCACGGGATTGCCAAGATCCATGACCGCCACTTCTCTTTCCAGGGACTGACCTGGGAGGGGTTCCGGACAGCGGAAGGCTGTTACCGCACCGTGTGGGAGCGCCTGGGCCTGGCCTTCCAGACTCCCGAGGCGTACTGCCAGCAGCAGGTGTTCCGCTCGCTGGCCTACATGCGACCCCTGAGCATCTGGGCAATGCAGCTGGCCCTGCAGCAGCAGCAGCACAAAGCCAAACACAGGGCGAAGGGCACAGGACTAAGCACAGCACCGGAGTTAGGACCAAAGGAAGTTACAGCCAGCCTGAGCCCAGAATGAGCCCTCTGAACTGTGGGAAGGGTGTGCTGACAGCCCAGCCCCTGGCCTGCCCTTCCCTCCTCCCGAGTCTCCTGCGACCCTGAGCCACCAGGACAATCAGAGCCCCTCCAGTCTCCCCACCTACCTGCGCCAGTAAAAAGGGATGAGGGTGACCCCGGCATCAGAATCACTTATTTATTTCCCACCCCACCCTGCCCCACCGCATGAAATGTTCAAGGAGGTCAGTTGATTTCCCCAGGCCCATGCACGGGGTGAGAGACAGACACAGATACAAATAAAAGACCCAGAAAGCAAGTGTAGTGTGTTTGTGCCCCCAGGTTTCTGACAGGCCAGGAACTGAGGCTAGCCCACGTCCTTCCCTTTTCATCTGGACAGAGACTGGGGGCGCCAGGCTTTTGCTGGGGTGCCCTCCACGCGCATGTCCAGCCTGACAATTTGTTCTGCAAGATGGCAGGTGTGGGGCTGGGGGGAGGGAGCCATCATCCCCTCTTCTGTGAGATTTGCATGCAAGGGTAGGATGCAACCCAGGCAGGGGGACTTGGAGACAGGGTCCAGGAGTGGCAACTTCGGGGCAAGTTCTCCACCAGGAGCCTGGAGCGAGTGGTAGACGAGGCAGCAAGAGTTTCCAGCCATGGGGATTACAGGGTCCGAACTGTCCTTTGGTGCCTCTGACTGTAGGCCAGGCAGTGCCGCCAGCGGGCGAGCGTCCTCACTAGGCAGGGCACGGAGCCTGCGGGACAAAACTGAGGGGACAAAGACTCTCAGGGTCAGCCTGGCTCTTCCCACAGTGCCCACAGCCGGTCCCTAAAGGCATCCCCAGGCTCACCTCTGGACTCGGCGGGCAGGCGCCCCCTCGTGTCAGAAGAGTACATAGCAGGTACGAAGAGGAGACAGAAAGAGAACAGCAGGACCTGCGGCAGAGGGGAAAGGTGATGCAGACCGCCTAGGGATGGCCCCCTGCCTCCCCTCCCCGCACTCCTGTGGCCTGAAGATCACCACCCTCACCATGACACAGGTGCTGCTGCTGCTCGACTTGTTTGCCACCTGAATTACCATGGCCTGGAGTCTCCTCAGCTGATCCAGGAGGGACCTAGAGGAGAGGGGCACGGTGAGCAAGTCACAGTGAAAGCAGCTCTCCTGCTATCAGGACTGCCCCACCAATTTGGGCACTAGGTCCTCGCTTTGCAAATAATTTCCACCTGATTACACACACGCACACACACCCCACCTCTGGCCCTGCCCTAGGTCCTCACTTTGCAGATTTCCGCCTGATCTCACACACACACACACACACACACCACCTCTGGCCCCCTGCTCTAGGTCCTCACTTTGCAGATTTCCACCTGATCTCACTCACACACACACACACACACACCCCACCTCTGGCCCCCTGCTCTAGGTCCTCACTTTGCAGATTTCCGCCTGATCTCACTCACACACACACACACACACACACACACACACACACACACACACCACCTCCGGCCCCCTGCCCTAGGTCCTCACTTTGCAGATTTCCGCCTGATCTCACACACACACACACACACACACACACACACACACACACACACACAGACCACCTCCGGCCCTGCCCTCTGTCTGACTCTGTGCTGTGTCTCAGCGAGGCACTCACTCCTCCCTAGGAATACCCCCTGCCCACCAAACTGGATGGTGCTGTGTTTCTGTGTTTTGTGCTGAGAATGTTCTCCCCTTCCCTACCTTCTGGGAAGCCTCTCTTCTTTCCCAGGCCTCCTCTCTGCACGGGCTTTCTAATCTCAGTACCCGACTTAGCCTTAGTGACTTTCGAAACCCAGTAAAGCTACCCAGTCAAGCGCCCGAGTGTGGAGTGGCTAAGAGGGACCACCTCAGATGAGGGGCAGGAAGGGGACCAGCTGGGGGAGTAGCTCACAGATTCTGCTCCTCCAGGAGCTGCACTTTGTTCTGAAGTTCCAGGTTCTGGGCTGTGTATTTCAACACCCTACGGGAAAATAACAAGAATATAGGTGGTATGAGTCATGTCCTTCCTTCAAAAACGCAACACTTCCAACCAGCTCTGGGCAGTCCCCTCCCCCACCCCCTCAAGGTCCACTCCCTTTCTTACCTGCTCTCCAAACCACCCACATACACCTTCCTCTTCCTGCGGCTCTCTTGAGCAGACTTTTTGTTTCTAATCTTCCTCCGCACTCGCTTCAGGATGTGTTCCTCCATCTGAGAGAAAGGGGGAAAAGGAGTATCAGAATACTGGACCAGGGGTCAGAAAGATAGTACAGCAGGTAGGACGTTCACCTTGCATGCAGTCAACCCAGGTTCAATCCCCAGCATCCCATGTGGTCCCCTGAGCACTGCCAGGAGTAATGTAATTCCTGAGTGCAGAGTCAGGAGTGACCTGAGATCACTGGGTATGCCCCACCTCCCACCCCAAGACACACACCAAAAAAACCAAAAACAAACACTGGAGCACAGCTGGAAAGCAAAAAGTTTAATCTTTCCACAGCACAAATCCCTCTGATAGCTCCTCCACTCTGTGGGCACACAGCTTTTAACCAAGAGTCTCCCAGGGAGCGCGAGATCTCTCAATGAATAGGGAGGCTGAGGTGAGGGGAAGGGGCGCATGCAGAGACCCCAGTACTCTGTGGCCCCCATAAGCATTGCCAGTTGTGACCCTGGTGGTCTCAAGCAGCATGGCATTCCTGGGCCAGGGCCTTGTCAGGTCCAGCCTGCTTAGCCTAGAACCATCCAGACTGGCGCTAGGCTTCCTGCGTGCTGCCTGGGAGGCCCAAAGGGAAGAAAAACCGCAAACTGTTTAATCTTTCCACAGCATGAATCCCTTTATAGCTCCTCCACCCCGTAGGCAACACAGCTTTTGGCCAAGAGTCTCCCAGGGTGCTCGAGATCTCTCAGTGGATAGGGAGGCAATGAGAACAGGTAGTGAAAGCCTCATAAGCCAGACCTTGTTCTCTATTATAGGAACCTCAGATAGGTGCTCAGGGGTCCGACGGCCTGTCCTGGAAATAGCCTAGCAATGCTGGGGGTCACCAGAGCCACCCCAGCAGTGCCAGAACTCAGACAGGCAAAGCGTGTACTCCACCCCTCTGGGCTATCTGCCCACTCCAGCCAGGCCTCCCCACCCCTGTACCAGCTTACAATGCCAGGGATGGGAACGGGGCCTCACATAGAGGGCAAGTACAGCCAGGCCATTTACAACTTTGGTTTTTGGGGGGTGGGGGTTATAATCTCCCTTATCCAAAGTCAACATCTGTGTCTCTAACATCTTTCATTTGGGCGGAGCCAGCACCTGACCTCTGGGACTAAAGGGAACAAAGGTCAGAGCGATTTTAAGTAACCTGGTGCTTCTTCAGTTTAAAAAAAAAAACTGAGCAAAATTGTAAGTCATTATCTCCACTTGGAAACAAACAGCTCATTCTTTTATCACCTGGCAGGGAGGGATCTCAGGTCAGTGCCTGCAGTGAGCTGGCCAGCAGAAAGGGAGTAGGACAGTTCCTGCCCACTGGGGGGCGGCACTCACTCCATCAGCGCACCTTCAGCCCCAGCCACTCTGGCTGACTCATCTTGGACTCCCTCATAATAAAAGCACACCTAAGCTTTCTGCCAGGAACAGTGGACTTCTAATCCACTTCTAATTAGGGTTGCACTTGTGGCACTGCCATTCTTTGCATGAAATAATTCCTAATGTGATTTTTACTCCTGTCATACACATTAGTCCAGCCTCGTTGAAACTCTCAAACTTTAATTCTACCGCTTGGCATGAGGTGTATTTCCGTGAAACTGTTCAAATGAAGCCTTGGGTGGTCTCACACCACTGTTTCCAGCGTCTTTGGCACCAGTGATACATGGGGGTTTGGACTTATTTTTTTTTCAAGAGAACACCAAAATGTGAATAAGCACCACAAAATCCTAGGTCCACCCAGGCAGCCATGCAGCAATTTCCTCTTAGCAAGAGATTGGTCAGATTTCTCAGTTAGATCCACTTTTTCACAGAATCCCCGTGACCACTGGGTCCTGGCTCCAGCTGTGGGAGTCTTACCTTGGTGAGGGGAAGCGTCCCAGGCAGAGTAAGCCCCTCCTTCTCCAACAGCCGCTTCTCCTCCTCTGTCAGTATCAGTCTAGTCATCTCGGGAGATTCCGGGGAGGTGGGAAGCTGAGTGGAGTGGCAAGGAAGAGTCAGCCAGCAACCAGGAAGGAATCCTGAGCCCATCCCCACCCCACCCCAACCCTCCCGTGCAAAAGCGGAAATAATCCCCCCTCCCCAGGGAAAGTTACCTCCTCTGCAGACTCCACATGCAGTGGTGTCATCCAGGCCCCCTCTTGCCCATCGCTTCCAAAATCTGCAAAAGAGGGAATAAGACAGCCAGTCCCGCAGTCCTTCCCCTCCTTCGACCCCTCTGGCGCTAGCACGCCCCTCAACTGCAGGCTCACCTAGATCTATCGAGACATGTTCCCGCGGGAGGGAGTAGGTGTGGTCATGGCCCACGGAGCAGGGGATCGGGTCACTGAGCACGTCCGAGGGCGCTGGACTCAGCAAAGAGCTCAGGAAATCCTCCACCTCCCAATCGCTCTCTACCTGCACGGGGTTGACAACACCGGCAGAGACCGGTCACCCCCGCCACACACACACACACACCTCCCGCTTCTGCACCCAGGACACCCCCCACTCCCACCCCTACCCCGCTTCCCCGGGACTCGGGGGCCAGCACCCACATCCGAAAGACTCAGCTCCCAGTCCAGGGGCGCGTCCACCACCGGCTGGTCGGCCCCGGCTCCCAGGCCTCCGCTGTCCTCTAAAAGGAAGTCCAGCAGGTCCTGGTGGCCCGGGTCCAACGCTAGCTCCATCTGCGCACCCCCGGGCTAGCCGGCCGGCGCTCCCGCAGCCACACCCGCCTCTCCGACAGGGCTCCCGCAAGCTTCCAACAAGACAGAAGTGACGCAAGCGGGCCGCAGGCACCCCGGGACTTGCAGTTCTTCCCGCGGGGCGGAAGCGGGGCCGCGAGGCGGCGCCACGGCGCGGTGGAGGAGGGAGGTGGCGGCGGGGGGGAGGGGGGTGGGGGAGAGAGAGAGAGAGAGAGAGAGAGAGAGAGAGAGAGAGAGAGAGAGAGAGAGAGACCCGGCCCCGCCCCCGTGCCCCGCGCCCAGCTAGGAAAAGGAAGGGCAGAGTCGAGAAGGGGAACTGGAGGCCGGCCCGCGTGCCCGCCCCGGATCGCGCCGCGCCCCTGGCTTCCTGCCGGGGAGGGGCCCGGCGACGGCGGCGGCGGCGGCGGCGCGAGCATCGAGAGCTGGCGCCAGAGCAGCTTCCTGCGGGCGGCCGCGACCATAGAGCGCGGGCCCAGGGCGCCGCCCGCGGGCGGGGGAGCGTTCCGAGGACGGAAGTGGCCGCGCGAGTCGGCGAGCGAACGAGAGGGCGAGGCCGGAGTCCGCGAGCCACCCGGGAGGACGAGCGGGTTAGCGGGGCCGGCGGGCGGGGCGCGGAGCCGGGCAGCGCAGGTAGGGCAAGGCCGGGCGGCGGCGGCGGAGCGGGAGTCCCGGGGAGGGGCCGGGAGGCGGGCGGGGCCCCCGAGCGCCCGCGGCTGGGCTTTGGGGTGCCGTGTCCGCCCGCGGTCAGCGCCCCGCGCGCGTCGGGGCAGCGGCCGCCTAGGCCGTGGCGCGCGGCGGGCAGCGCGGGCCTCTCCGCGACAGGGTGGCGGGAGGACGCCCGTCAGCTCGGGGTGGTGGTGGGGGCGGGGGCGGGCGAGGCTTAGCTGATAGCGGGGCTGCGTGCGCCTCAGCAGAGCTCGGGGGTGACTTGCGGGGGTGGGGAGGGATCTGGGACTCAAAGAGTTTAGCTTTCAGAAGTTCTCAAGTTCAGACTTGGTTCGGGGAGCCAGATCCGTTTTCGTGCAGGTCAGGTTTGGGGTAAGGTCCTGATTTTTGTTTGTCTAGCCTGGGCGGCCGCCCGTTAAGTCCGAGTTGGTTCAAGGTGGCAGCACCTAGAATTTGTGTAGACGTCTTGTGTTACCTTGATTTAGAGACTTTTAGCACCGGCGCAGCCCCTGCTGGAGAGAAAAGACTCTTGAAGGTGCGGGTCAGGGATGCAGGAACGAAGCGGCCAGTGCAATGAGACTTGGTGCAGGAACAGTATTTAGGGCTAGGTATTGGGGATGAAAAAGGAAAAAGAGAGAGAGACAGAGACAGAGACCAGAATCACAGAGGTCAGGGATTGGAGAGAGGTGTCCCCAAGGAAAGGGATACACACATGTCAAAGCTGGCGTTTGAGGATCAGGATACACACACGTGGAGTGGAGTGTCGCGGTTGGTTGGTGTGAAGAACGGGGTGCTGGGGATGTGGCTGGGTGACACATGCCTGGCCTGTTAGTGGTGCTGGGTGTTCAACCCTGACACTGCAGGAACAACAACAACAATAACAACAAAGAATTCAGGGGCAGCATTAGAGGGTGTGACTGAGGTCAGGGCCGTGATCTTGAGCAGATCGCTGGAGAGATTAGCCGAAGAACATGCCCTTGTTCAGTGGGTTGGGCTTTTATTCCCGGCTCTGCCTTTTGCCCAGAGAAATGACAACCTCATTTCGGGCTAACCTTCTGGGCTTTGGCTTGGGGTACAGGCGTCAGAGATTCCAGCTTCTCTAGTACTCTCAGAGCCCAAACTGCTCTGAGTGGCCATGGCCATTGAGTTCCTGGGCCGTATCGTATCGTGTAGGAGATGATGAGACAGGAAAAGGCGGGGGACTGAGGAGAAGGCACAGTTGTCCTGGGCCTTGTGGTCAGTGGAGGCTGCCCAGGGGAAAGGAGACCAGTGACAACGGAAGGTGGGCGGGGGGAGAACAAACCAAGGAAACATGCCGCAGGGGACGGAACCCCTCTCTCTCTCCCATTCCCCTCAGGCCCTGGAATTTAAGTCCTCTTTTCCAGCTCTCTTCCCAGACCCAGAATTTCATAACCTCTGTGCAGATTGTCATCTTTAACTCCTCTTCATTCATTATCCACCTTCCCAGCCTCAGTCTCTCTCTCTCTCTCTCTCTCTCTCTCTCTCTCTCTCTCTCTCTCCCCCTCTCCCTCTCCCTCTCCCTCTCTCTCCCACCAACCATATATCCTTCTTTAATTTTCGCCCAACTCTACCCAAATCCAAGCTTTCCCACCCTAAAGCACCCTTCATCCTTTTCACCTCCTCATATCCCTGTATCCCTGCTGGCTACCTTCTGCAAACCCCTGGCACAGCTGCCCTGTTCCCCTCAGTGCCTGCTCCATGCCATCCCCGGGTTCTCAGCCTCCTCCGTTTCTTCTTGTTTCTTTTTTGTTTGGTTGGTTTTGGTTTGGGGGCCACACACCCAGCTATACTCAGAGGTTACTCCTGGCACTGCAATCAGAAATTACTCCTACCCATGCTTGGGGGACCGTATGGGCTTCCGGGGATCAAACCCAAGTCAGCTGTGAACCCGGCGCAAGGCAAGGGCCCTACCCGCTTTACTGTCACTCTAATCCCCCTCCTTCATTTCTTGGTCCACTTGCAAATCCCCTTCCCCCACTCCCCAAAGAGAAAAGAGGAAACGAGACCCAAAGAGGAAATTGGGTCTTGCTGATCCCACGCCCGGCCAGGCCACTGACCACACCCCCATTTCACTCCCAGTCTTGACCCTGCCACTGACCACAGCACTGTCCCCTTCCCAGGCGGCCTCAGCCCCTGGCTGCCTCCCAGGCCACCACCAATCCCAGTGTCCCTGCGCTCACTCTCCCCCATCTCTTCTCTGCCTCCTACAGCCTAGCTGGCCTCTGACTTGACTCCATCATTCCCTGATTTAGCCACCGTCTGAGCAGTTAGTCACCCTCATCCCCCAGCCTGCAGCAGTGTCGAGTCATATCATAATTTTCCTACCATCATCCTCTCCAGCCTCTCTTTATGCTGTCTCCCCCAGTCCCAGCCTGATTCAGTCACTGACCTCGTATCTTTTGCCCTTGTCTACCGTGAACCTTGTCCCGGCTCACCCCTGCCCTCTCTCTCTCCTAGTGCCTGGAGACATGGATAACCCAGTCTGAATTTGGGGGTGACAGTCTATCATAAGGTCCTGTCAACTTACCTCTTAACATTTACAGGTGACTGCCACCACCCCTTTGTCATTCTCATGTGGGTTTGGACCCCCCTCACTATGCTAATGCTGTGTCCTAACCAAGGGAACTGTCTGCCAGCAGCACCTTCCGGGACAAAGTTCTGTTTTGCCCCTTTCTGTGCCTGTAAGCTGGGATTCCTGCTTCTCCTCTCTAGCACTCCCCTGCCTTTCTCTCCGAACCCTAACTACCCCATCACTGCTCCATTGCAGGTACCCCGTGCTTCAGCCAGCCTGCCTCCTCACTTCCCCGAATGCCCCTCCACGATCTCCACCTTCTCCACCTTTGCTTACGCTATTCTCTCTGCTGGAATGCTCTCACAAGCAAGCCTGGGCTTTGGAGTAGACGCCTGGGTTCGGATCCGGGCTTCACCACCCATTCATTAGCCAAGTGACTCTGGACAAGGACCTTGAACTGAGCTTCAGTTTCCTAGTCTGTGAAATGGAAATAACACCACCTACCTTGCAGGGTTGTTGTAAGGATGAAATCAAATGATGTATCCAAAGCAATTAGTCAATATACGTATAAAGCAGTTTATCACCAATAAAGAATAGGTTGTAATTTTTTTTATTACCTTTATATTTTAAATTCCTGGCTTCAAGTGACTCTTTTCTGGAGACTTCTGGATTCCCCTACACTAATCTAAAAGGATCTCTCCCTCGAGCACTCACTCACCTTTGGGCTCTGACCACATCCTGCCCTCAGTATTAATTCTGCGTTTAGTTTTTCCACTCAGCCAGTGGAGCCCTTTGAGGCCAAAGACTCCTCCTCGGCTTTCTCTTCTTGGTTCCCAGTCCCTGAGAGTTTGGCCCCGAGCCTTTCCCACCACAGCCCCTCCAGAAACCCTCCAGAAACCGGGTGAATGGCCGGAGGATGTGTGCCTCCTGGGTGGGCCTTTTTGCCTGAAGATAGAGGTGTATTTGCGGGACAGCTGTGTGCACAAGGAATGGGTCTTTATGGGAAGATTATACGTCCCCTCCGGGATCTGGGTCCAGGCTGTTTGCTCCTGATAAGCATAGAGGTGGCTCTTCCTAGGCTGGGTGCGTTTGCAGAGAATGAATATACATGGGCAGGGGTGTCGATGGGGAGGGGCTGTTCTGAGGGAAGCCCCAGCTAGCCCTTTACTGGCCAGCCCTTTGCTGCCAACGACTGGCAGCCTACTGGTCCAGCCCTCCAGGGGCCTCCGGCAGGCAGGCAGCCCAAGGCCGGATATGTCAGTCTCACCCACAGCCCTCCCCCTCCCCCTTGGTTGCGGACTCAGAGGCCAAATTTGGTAACAGACAAGCCTGTTACTCCCCCAGCCCTCTTATACTCAGACTCCCTACACTTTCTCTCGCTCTCCTGCCCCTCTCTGTTAACTCCTTTCCCTGTCTTTCTGCAGCTCCCATAGTGGGTATCTGCGCTGACCCCTTTCTCCATGTACCCCAAATTCCTTACCCCCAGTACATTCCATTCCTTGCTGGGATCTGACCTCCTGTCCTCCATTCCCACCCCCCTTCAATTGCCCAACTCCTCTGGAATGCATCTCAGGAATGTCTTGAGGGAGGAGGAGTTCCCTGGGAGGGGGCCTGGGGGGGTGCTGTTTATAAAACATGATGGAAGGGGGAGAAGAGTAGGAACTGACAGCTTCTCCTTTTACTCCCAGGGGCCTTCTGTGCCCTCAGCGCCACAGCTCATCCCTTGATTCCCTCCCCCTCCCCCTCTCCTAGTGAAGTGTCTGGGAGTAGGGGTAGGCATGACTCAGCTCCCTTATCGGGGTCTCACCAGAGGTTTCCTTGAGGAGGAAGGGGGTGTCCCAGTGTCCGGAGGAAACGGGGGGTTGTCGTGCAGTTTCAGCTTAGGGTAGAGGGTCCTTGCAGTCCTGCCCTCAGCGACCCGACAGCCAGGATCATCCAGGTACAGGGA